AAGTCATCTCTCATTGTAAGTCATCTCTCTTTGTAAGTCATCTGTCGTTGTAAGTCATCTCTCGTTATCTCTCGTTGTAAGTCATCTCTTGTTGTAAGTCATCTCTTGTTGTAAGTCATCTCTCTTTGTAAGTCATCTCTCGTTGTAAGTCATCTCTCGTTGTAAGTCATCTCTCGTTGTAAGTCATCTCTCGTTGTTTTGGTAATTCGCTCTTGTCTTCATCATGATTGTATGATATTTGACTCTGAATTATAAAGTATGTAGTCTTAATTGTACCCACATTCTTGTTTAAATATGGCCATTTGGGTAACATTTTCTTCTTCAACGGTTCAATTTAACATAATATTTTCTAGCTGTTTGTAAACACCAGTGTAGTAGGTAACTACATTTATTTTTTTTTCTTTCATTAACAGCATTGTTTTCAGCATTATAAAATAGAACTATATATAGTATGAAATATTTACATTGAATATTTTTGCCTTTCTCTCTGATGAAAAACAATGGCTGTTTATCAATTGATTAACTCTAAACTCATGTTAGATCTGTTTTTTTATGCCCCGCCATGAATATGGCCGGGGCATATAGTGTTTGTCATGTCCGTCTTCCGTCCTTCCGTCCTTCTGTCCTTCCGTCTGTCCTTCCGTCACACTTTGCGTTTAGCTCTGTTCAAAGCTCAGTTTCAAAGAAACTATCCAAGATATTTTTATCAAACTTCATATGCTGATAGATATTGATGAGAGCTATGCAACTGCATCAACAGTTTTTGACCTTGACCTTTCCTTTGACCTTGACCTCACTTTTCTTGAATTAGTGTTTAGCTCAGTTTTAAAGATACCATTCAAGATAGTGTTATCAAACTTCATATGCTGATACATACTGATGAGAGCTATTCAACTGCATCAAAATTTTTTGACCTTGACCTTTCCTTTGACCTTGACCTCACTTTTCTTAAATTAGTGTCAAACTTAATATGCTGATACATACTGATGAGAGCTATTCAACTGCATCAATATTTTTTTTTTACCTTGACCTTTCCTTTGACCTTGACCTCACTTTTCTGAAATAAGTTTTTAGCTCAGTTTTAAAGATACCATTCAAGATAGTGTTATCAAACTTCATATGCTGATACATACTGATGAGAGCTATTCAACTGCATCAACATTTTTTTACCTTGACCTTTCCTTTGACCTTGACCTCACTTTTCTTAAATTAGTGTCAAACTTTATATGCTGATACATACTGATGAGAGCTATTCAACTGCATCAATATTTTTTGACTTTGACCTTTCCTTTGACCTTGACCTCACTTTTCTTTAATTAGTGTTTAGCTTAGTTTTAAAACCATTCATAATATTTTTATCAAACTTCATATGCTAATACATACCGATGTAACCTTTCAACTGCATAAACAATTTTTTTTGACCTTGACCTTTCCTTTGACCTTGACCTCACTTTTCTCAATTTGTGTTAAAATGTTGCATTATTAATATACCCTCGGCGGGGCATTCATGTCCTATGGACATATTTCTAGTTTAAGCCATGTCTTAACGTAGGTCGCGGGTTTGCTGACGTTGTTAAAACTAGGTACGCAGTTTATATGATTTTGGCGACTTTCTTGTGCACATTTGATTATGACGTCACAATGAAAAAGAAATCTGCGATGATATTCTTCAGTATATCATTAGGCCAGGTAAAATTAAACTTTAGATTCTCATCCCCGCCCGCCCCTCTCAAAGTGCCCCGCCCCGTTGTTTTTTATTTGGGTTCTTGGGTTTCAAAAGTATTTACATGTATTTTTTACTCAGCAAGAATCTGGGTCAAAATTTAAGAGTTATCTCCCCTCTGTATTAAAAGTCGCGTGGCGCTATTTATAGCACAAAAGTCATGGGAAGAATGGAGAAAAATCGGCAATAAAAGCAGTTTAAGATAATTTGCCAGGATAGAGAAGGCAGAAAAGCAAAAATAACATAAATACATTTAGATACCATCAGTGGCATGAGCAAGTTTTTAAAGAGATTTTAACCAAGTAAAAACAGACGAAGAAAATGACATCTGGTCAAGGTATAACTTAAGTTGTATGTGATTTTTTTTTTTTTTTTTTTTTTTTTAAAAATCGTCGGCAGACGTTAGAGGATAATAATGCTAAGGAAATAGTAAATCTTAAAACTGTTGAGCATAGGCTTTTCAGTAGAACATTTTACAGTTTTAGACATCCTGTTTTGCAAAAATGACATATTTTAATGTTGAACGTGTCAAGTCTCAAGAACGAAAGTATGAGGACAGTGGAAATCTGTGATATTTCACACAAAACAAAAGGAGTTGTTGATAAAACTAAAAGGTATTTGGAGAAAGGCTGATGAGAAGTCGTAATTACTACATACAGCATATGCAATTTATTGGGATCCGCACCCCATTTTGTGTGGCGTGTGCTGTATCTGTGTACTTGAAAATTCATTAATAAAAACTATAAATATTAATATTCTATAACAAGAATATTTGATAGATATTTAAAAGAATAAACAATAAAATATATTCATATTGGCATTAACATAATGTGAAAGTTTTGTGTAAGAAGGGCGTTATGTAGATATTTTCAATAATAAGAAATAAAAAATAAAATCCGCCCACCCGCCCCAATTTTTTAGCAAATTAGGATGAGAATCTAAATTTTAAATTTATGTGGCCTTATTTAGCTATAACTTTTCTTGGAATTGGTAGTTTAGTGTTATATTGTTTAAAATGTTCGACATATTAGGAAATATTAAAAAAAATCATTTAGGGCCTTTCCTGCAAGCTTGGAAAAACAAGTGGTTGTTTCTCGGCTTGTCGGAAAGGCCCGAGAAGTTGCGATTGATTTGTTTTCACTTGGTATCGTGAAACGATATGGACACAAGGTTCAACTGAACTTTTTTCCTTTGATCGTATTTGAATTATCAGTTTCTTTTAATAAGAAAGAAGCCAATATTTAAATAAATCACAAATACACCTGTTACATCAAAAGATTAAACTTTATTTTTAAAGAGGATATTTGATATATAGATGTACAAGTTTATCATAAATTAAATACTGCTAAGGTACGATGAAACATTAAGACAATTTTTTAGCGGCACTGACCTCCTGTTAGGGGACAACTATTTAATTCTGAGGGAGAGGTGTGTGTGTGGCAAATTTTACCGAGTCAGATTGTTCATTTTCATGTTGGTGAAGGACAGATTATTATTTCCGAAAAAAAAAAAAACAAGGACAGACTATTTATTTCTTCTTCACTGAAAAAAGTCTGACAAGCAAAAAAAAAAACAAAAAAAAACAAAAACAAAAAAACAAAATTGAAAACTCCCATTGGGGGAGGGGGGGGGGGGGGGGCTAGAACTAGTTTTGGACAGATTATTTATTTTCTTGCCCAGTCGAGGACAGATTATTTATTTTCAACATTTTCGAGGACAGATTATTTATTTCCAAAATCTGTACGTCCCCTGAAATGATCGTCCCCTAAGCAACAGCTTGCAATGCTGTTACATACAGATTTTATTCGCTACTTTGCTTTCCATGTCCAACAAATAGAATTAATGTTCTAAAAAAAACTGGCTGTTGATTACGTCAGATAAAATTGATTTTTAAATCCTCGTCCCATTTACATCTCTAAAAATGTGGTATTTAAAAATAAATATTTTGTTTTAATATATACTGAAAATATATTGTATTTAGCCGGGACGATATTTGGCAGAAATTCATAGATTTGAGCGCCTTGCTGAATGGTCTTAAATAAAAACATTTTATATACTTGAATCACTTGAATTAAAAGATACCGTTTTCGCCAGCACACTTGAAAAGAAAAATACACAGCTGAATGTAAAGATACGTCTAATCTACAAAAAAAAAGCAAAACAAAACAAACAGAAAAGAAACGGTAAGAAAACAACACATGAAGAAAGTAAATTGAAAGAGAGAAATTAAAGGATTGATTGTTGTTTTACGTCCCTTGCGAGAATTTTCACTAATATAAAACGTACAAAAAACCTAATCTGAAGAGAAACATGTCTAATAATCATTTCATTGTTATTGAATTATTATGATACGATTCACGGGTCACTTGAAAGCAGATAGACGTGAATTTCTTTTTTATAAAAATTATTTTAGCTTATTTTTCTGCACTGAATACCGGATAGATATTCACGACGTCAAGCATGGCGTCGCGATATTTTATGACGTCGTTCTTAAAAATGTAAAATTTTGCGATATAAAAGCAATTATCCACATTTAAATTATCGAAAACTAACCCGAAGACATATTAATTTTTTCACATTGATTTATTTCAAATCAATTCTTTGTTAAAATACCAAAGGGAAACAATTTCGTCTGCACCATTTAAAAAAGTTACTGATATTTTTTGAAACAAAATCTTGCCTCAAAACGAGCCGAAAACGACGTTTTTCTTATATAATTCAATAGAATAACGTCGAAAATGTAACGCCTACAATGGCATGTTTGGGATTTAATTACACAAAAACGATGCAGACAAATTTTATAAAATTTTCAGAGAATATAAAATGAAGGTAGAGGATTCATATAACTAATTTTCATGGTATGTTTTCGGACACTTTTGAATGGCCTGCAAACCTGCGACCTACGTTAAGAATTGGGTCTTTCATCAATGTGATGTATGGATCAATAAAACAATATTTAACATAATTTCCCCTACTTTATAGAATGATTTATACAGATTTACATGTAAACAATAACATTTATTTCTTTCTTTGTTAATATGGAGATTATCACTTGCAACCTTTGCAGAAAAAACTAAATAACCAACTATGAAATTTTTCTGCATTGTCACAACTGTTAATCCTAGTAGGATTTTATTATTTATAAATTATTACATTTATCATGTGTATATATGAAATTGTAAATATTGGTCATTCTTATAGCTTCAGAGTGATATGTTATTGTTTTAACAATTTTTTTTCTTGTTCTAGGGTTATGAAGGTTTAGAGGGACCTGTAGGGTCCACAGGGTTACCCTGGATGTAATGAGACAAAGGTATGAAATAATTTAATCATGTATCAAATGTAATGTAATCATTTAATATGTAATAAATTATGTCATGCATTGGAAATTATTATGAAAAATACTTTGAGTACTTATATGATGAAAGACAAAGTGAACAATAATTAAAGGAGAGAAATAGAGGGGTGGTATAAAAACATTTATTCTATCATAGATTTCAAAATGCAATTTTTTTTTCTAATAAAATTGGCATATGTTAGCCAATGTTTTCCATGCTAAGACATTGTAAATTTACAGCAAAATATTACATATCAAAAATTGATGTAGTAAACATGATGTTGGGAGTAGTGTGAAATTCCATAGGTTAATTAGAATTTTATTGTAAACATGAATGACACAAAGCAGTCTGTTATTACAGAATATTAAAATAAAAATGATTTGTGTTTGTTTATTTTAGAGACAAAAGGTAACCCTGGAGTTGATGGACTGCCAGGAAATCGGGGGCCTCAGGGTGTATCAGGTTTACCCGGACCCAAGGTAGGGTGTCATGGAAACAACACTCTAAAAAGATATAAAAATCTTTCATGTTTTTAAGTATTGACATCTTGTGCTGTCATTTTGTTTACTCTTTTTTTGGCAACTATATTTGCACCCACAAGCAACCCCTATTGGGCATTAATTTCAAGGCAGTATAACTGATGTCAAAAGTATCACAAGCTAATTCAGGGAATTTGTGTCCCCCGCTTCATGTTATATGAAGAGCAAGGAAGATCTGAAAAAAAAAACGCAGATTGTGAAAGAGAAAAAGATTGACATTGAGCTTTAGCTTTTGGCCTTAAAGTCATGAGGGGTCTTTCTTGATTTAAAGAAATTCAGGACCTTAATTTTCATTGCAAAAGCTTACTGAAAATTAAGTTATTATCTGAAAATTATGTATGCAATATATAACTTTCTGACTTTGGCCTTTGACCTTTTCTCAAAATCAAAAGAGTCCTCTTTAAGTCATATTGACTAAAAGTATAAAATTTTATTGCAAAACAAAGAGAACTCTATATAACACCAGGAAGCCATTATTTTCACAACATATGAATTTTTGACCTTGACCGTTTTACCTAAAATTCAAAAGGGATCTTCTTTAAGTCAATGGGAGTAATGATATGATAATATTTAATTGTAAAAGCTCAAATAAGACAAAAATTATCATCTGGAATTCAATTTTTGCAATAATTGAATTCCTCACTTTGACCTTTTGTCCTCAAAACCTTTACAGGTTGTCTTTATGTCACAAAGAGCAATCATCTTATGATAAAAAAAAGTTTTAATTGAAAAGGCTTTATGAGAACTAAAGTGATCATCTGAAAATCATTTTTTTTAAATGTATGAATTTCTTACCTTGATCTTTGACCTTAAAATCAACAGGGGTTTTCTTTAGGTGACTTGGAGGTATGATATAAATCTTCATTGAAAAAGTTCAAAGAGAAGTAAGTTTACCATCTGGAAACCATTTCTTGCAATGTATGAATTACTGATCTTGACCTTTTGACCTCAAAATTGATAGAGGTCTCCCTTATGCCATAGGCAGTTGGGCAGGGCTTTCAAAAATGTTAGAAACAGGCGGTACTTTTTCAAAAATAGGAGGTAGCTTGTGGAAGAGATTTTAATTAAATATGAGAGTTATTAAATTTTTCTCCAACGAGTATTTTGGCCGGTATATTCATAACATCAGCCGGATAAAAGTACCGTGTACCAGCACATTTCATTGCAAAAGCTCGAAAGCTCTTTGAGATATTGTCCAGACATAAAGTGTTATACACAGATAGAATGACAGACAGATGGATGGACTGATGGACAGACAGAGAAATTACTCATGTCTTCCAATCCAATTATGATAATAAGCATACATAAAGCACATAATGCACAAGTCTCTAAAGTGGCTGATCAAGTCTCAGATTGGATTTAGTGATTTTATAATGTACAATTTTGTATTTTGTTCATAAGATAATTCAAAAGATCGGCTTTAATATGTATCTTCTGGCAATAAAAAATAATAAAATGTATTTTTTAATCCACAGGGAAATCCTGGAGATGGATTTTGTGGATTTGGTTCAAAAGGTGATCCGGGTAATCCTGGACAAAGGGGTCCTAATGTAAGTATCAACACCATAACAACTGGATTTCAGACGTGTTATCTCACACTATATATAATGAAATGTAAATCTTAATGTAACTTTAACAAGTTAAGTTCTATGATTAAATTTCAGTAAAGGATCATTCTCTATAAGGCCGTTTTGTGGCCTACAATGACTTCAAATTTTCAAATAGTATTTTTTCCCTTAAAAACTGCATGAGTCAGTAGGCTAATGTTCCAATTTAATGATAAATGTTGATTGGTTAATGATACAAAAGTATTTGTTATGATATAGGGTCACAAAGTAAGGTACTATCGGTCGGTATTAGCATTAGGGTAATGGGAAAACTCAAGAGGGTTGGTGTGTTAGGTAACTCCTATACATGTCATAACCACCTTTAACCAACACCAAAATTTGCATGTAAACTTCTTATGAACATAAAAAGTGACTACCAAATTATCAACTTGGTTAAAGGTGGTTATGACATGTAAATAAAAACTTTTCGCTTCATTTTTACGATATTTGCAGGAAAAGCTAACTACTTACAATGAAGGATATCAGCTTATGTAGATTATTTCTTATTATAAACTTCCACTTAGAGTACATGTTTCTATTGATTTACTAAGAATTTATATAAGCCATGCATGTTTACTAAAAAAAGGTAAACTTTTTACTTAAAAAATCTAAAATCAAAGGACTGAAATGACTGGTTGTTATGAAATTACGTGAAGACAAGTCTCATTGAACTATCTGCTAGAAATAAAGAAATTTTTTATAGACTATAAGGCATGAATATAAGTTACTTATTATAATTATATTATTTATAAGGATAGTTTAGTTTATCTATGCTACTTCTTTGTATTTGTATTTCCTTAGGAGTACATATTTGTTATTAGTTCTAGAAATGATAAAAGCTATTTTTTTTGTAGCGGGAAGATGCATTTGCTATTTGTGTTATAAACTTAATTTTTCTATGGGTACACATGTAACTTTTATAGATAGAGAATTACTGATGGGATGGTTTCATAATGGAAATTCTCGCCTCGACCTTTTAGAAGGACACTTTTCCGTATGAGTGACATAGGATCCATGTATTTTGTTAACTGGGTGTTGAGAGGACTCAATCTATTCATCACACTTCTTTGGTAGCATCAATATAAGTTATGAGAACAGTAGTTCTGTCTTCGAAAATAAAACGCCAAGGAGGAAAGGGGTTCCTAAATGTCACGTGATTGATAATTGAATGTTGCTTTACGTCATTTTAGAATTTTTCACCCAGATAAAGAGATCATCCACTTAAGGTGAAGTGTCACAATTTTGATTTATGCATGGTTTCAGTATTGACCAACACCTACCGTGGGACAGGACCTCCTTCTTTAAGATAATTTCCAAGAGACCCATGACTTTTACTTTTAATGCTGAGGACTTAGCAAAGGAACTGTCACTACCTGTGTTAAACACCTTAGTTCTTGACGCAGCACGGAAAGAGAATTTAATTCTCAGGTTTCAAGAGTGTGAAAGGAGTGTCATCTCTTACGGTCCAATTTGTACCTGGGATGTTGTAGAACTCTATTAGTCCATGGATATACTAAAACTTCTGATATGCGTAGTGGAAGGAACTGTTGAAAATTTACTCCATTTTATGGAGTGCCGTGGGGGGGGGGGGGGGGGGGCTTGACTTTTATACATACATTTGTGTATTATAGTTAAGATAGCATTTTAAATTAAATATATTGTTTTACATGCGTAATTAAATTGAATCAAATCAACTCTTACGATGTTATTTCATTTTACGTCAATATATATATATTTAATACAGCCGTTCTGAGTTTTATATACTGACTATTAACATGTACTTGCATTGATATTTTCATCCTGTAAATTAATGAATTCTTTATTTTTTTTGCAAATGTAGACTATATTTTATAAATTACAACTTAATTTTGATTTAATCACAAACAAAATTCATTCATTGCTTTAAACATTTGATACACAACTTTTATAGTTCAAAAGAAACTTAGAAATCTCATGTCTTGCATGGGCATTTTATGCGTAAAATTGGTACCACATCTATAGAAACAATACACAAGTACAATATAAACATATATGAAATAATACTTTTAATTAAATGCTAATTAAACATTTTTCAACATCGTACGAGGTGCATTTTGTAAAGATTTACATTCAAAATATGCAAAATGTGAATGCGTCAAATTCTTGCCATAAAAAAATATCTTTAGCCTTAAATTAAACAATCTTTGCTTTTATTACTTAAGTCTGATATGTTTCCGACATAAATAAACAATTTTTGATCATTGACATCTAGAAACATGCCTGAAAACTTGATGTAAATAGACCTACCCTCAATTTTTCTTTACTTGACGGCCGTTTGTGATCTTTAAATCACGCGACTTAGGTGATAGATGTTGAAAAACAAACATCAAAATCATGAAATATAATGATTAAAGTTACATAAAATCACATTTTTAAGTGATTTTATCGTAGGCCGGAAAATGGCCCTATAGAGAATCATCCTTTAAGAGCTTTATTCCATAATAAATATTTCTGTAATTGTTCCAGTTTATGTCTGACAATGATTAAATCTTGGACATATCTATTTTTAGGGTGATCCTGGCACTCCAGGTCGACCTGGACTCCCTGAGCCTTTTGGCCCTCCAGGTCCTAGGGTAAGAAATGTTCAGTCAGTTTCTATTATGACACATGTACAATTATCAGAAGACAACAGGATCTCACAAGGAAAAAATCGATATTTTTATGCCCCCATTGTGGGGGCCCATTGCGGGTCCACAATGGAGGATCAAAGTTTTACATAGAAATATATAGGAAAAATCTTTAAAAATCTTCTTCTCAAGAACAGCAAAGCCCTGATTGATCATATTTATGTGGAAGTATTTATTGTTTTTGTCCTGTCTGTCTGTCTATCTGTTTGTCTGTCTGTCTGTTGTCAACTTTAACCCATAACTTTTGATTGGTTAGAGCTATGACTTTCATATTTCACATGTGTATTCCTTGTGACAAGACCTTTCCTTGGGTACCATCATATTTGACCTTTTGACCTTGACCTTGGAGTTTGACCCACTTTTGCAAAATTTTATGAGACTTTAACCTTGGCCATAACTTCTGAACAGTTGGTGCTTGGGGTTTCAAACTTCACGTGTATTCCTTGTGACAAGACCTTCCTTTGGATACCAACCACTTTGACCCTTTGACCTTGACATAGGAGTTTGACCTACTTTTGAAAAACTTTAACCTTGGCCATAACTTTTGAATGATTGGTGCTATGGCTTTCATACTTCACAAATGTAATCCTTGTGACAAGACCTTCCTTTGGATACCAACCACTTTGACCCTTTGACCTTGACATAGGAGTTTGACCTACTTTCAAAAAACTTTAACCTTGGCCATAACTTTGAATGGTTGGTGCTAGGGCTTTCATACTTTACATATTTAATCCTTGTGACAAGACCTTCCTTTAGATAACAACAACTTTGACCTTGACCTAGACGTTTTATTTACTTTTAGAAAACTATAACCTTTGCCATAACTTTTGAACAGTTGCAGCTAGGGCTTTCAAATTTCACAGGTATATTCCTCGAGACAAGACCTTTCTTTGGATACCAACATTTTTTACCTTTTGGCCTGGATTTTGACTTGCATTTGAGAAACTTTAACCTTCGCCATAAGCTGCCATATGGGGGCATCAGTGTTTCACAAACACATCTTGTTGTTTCCATAATTTGCTATACCTGTACAAGATTATACATGTGTTATAGTAAAATGATTTTAAGACAAATTTAATGAAACTACTTTGCTTCACGAATTACAGTTCATAAATATAGCATCAGCATACAGTAAAACATGCTTTATATATGAATGCTTGTGATTTTGCTTTGTGATAAATGTAATTCTTTATATCTGTTAGCTTCACAATAAGTTTAAAACTCTGGGGAATGAAAATGACTTCACTGTAGGCATTAATTCATTATAAGTGTGTTCGCTATAAGCATGTTTTACTGTATTTCTATTTTTATTATATAAACACAAATGTTTAAAAAGTACCATATTGATTTTTGATATAATAAATGAAAACAGTATAAGGGAGATAATTTTTCTCTCTGTACACCATTTATTGTTATTTGCTAGTTCCTGCAGGAAGTGATCAAAATACAGTCAAACCTCCTTATCTCGAACTCGATGGGACCGAGAAAAAACTTCGAGATATCTGAAGATTCGAGATATCGAGGGTAAAATACATAGAAGAATAAGTGGATGGGACTTCCAAATCGCATCGACATATCCATGGTATTTGAGATATTAGTGTTTGAGATACCGAAGTTCAACTGTAACTACATAAATTTTTTTTGATCTTGTAACGTAAGTCTAGAAATACAAGAACATGAAAGAAGATAAGTACATGTACCTGTCCCAGTGTTGAGGAATTTTTTTGGTCTGTTTTCTTTGGTCATATTTTCAAAATAAAATATATTGACATAAATTTGCTAGATCTTTATGATATCTCTTCATTATTCCAACAATGAAGCCATCAAAGAAGTGGGGTACAGGGAGGGGAAGCAGGAAATATACTAAGTAGTATTGAATATATTTTAGGGCATTCATATGATGTAGTTTTTTTTAATTTTCTTGTAGCTCAGTTGAATATTGTGGTACCTTCATTTATCATAAAATGTATCTTTTCTAATTAAATATAACTTCTTTAAAATTTTTAGGGGCCGACTGGAATTCCAGGAGGTAACCGGGCCAAAGGGAAGCATGGGAGACCAGGTTAGAAATCCCCCCAAAGGTGAAAAGGTCAGTGTTCATTGGTAGTTGAAGTTACAGGTATACTTCTGTAGATAAATCACTTATCATGCATTATAATCATTCACCACAATGTTGTTGAAGAATAGCACATGTAATGTAAATAGTCTAAGAATATTTCATGCAAAATATCCTTTATTATTTAACCAATGCTAAAGAGGCATTAGAAAGTTTATTTTGGTCACCAGTGTAAATGTAAAACATTGAATTTATCATTAAGAAAATTTTAAAACTGTGTAAAAATTCCAGGCTAATTGACCTGTTGTGTTGACCTATAATTTACATGATTGTCTGTTTGTTTTCAGGGAGAGGAAGGATTACCTGGTCTCAAAGGTCCTAAAGGCTCCATCGCAACTTTACCAGGAAACAAACCGAACGAGATTCTGATGGGAGAAAAGGGGTAGAGCCAGGTGAGGGAGGAAGACCTGGAAGACCCAGATTTAATGGAATGAGTGGTGATCCGGTTAGTGGGAAATTCCCTACTGTTACTCTCTCTGTCATAACAATCCAACTTAACTTGAAAAGAGCAAGAGCCACTTAGGGCCTTTTTTGGCCCTGAGAATTTTTGAAAAATCGAAACTGCTCAGTTTTGGTTGAAAATGCAGAATTTATAACTTGGACCCTTGGTGACCGTGTATCTATTGAACATGACGTAATTTTCTCTCTAGTCAATGCATTATGATGTCATAAAATGCATCATTTTTCCCATATCCTGTAAATTCCCTTAAAAATGGCCAAAAGTTGAGGTATTTTTTCAATATTTCATATAGAGCACAACCTCTGATCCAAAATATGCAATTACATAATGAAAGATCTGTTTCTGAAGATCAAAACATGTTTTAATTTTTGGACCGTGGGCTGTGCTCATATTTTATTTCTTTGCTGAGGATAGTCAAATACACATGTTTTCTGCAAAATTCAAGAACATTGCATTTTCTCAAAGCCTGTTTTCCAATACCTGGATTCTCAAAAAGAAATTTTGTTATAGGAAATGAAAGCACTAAGTCTCTACTTTATTTTGATATATGAAATGGGACAGAGGGTGATAGTCAATTAATTGATATAAGGGCATGGCCATTTTATGCAAAAAGTGAACCTAGCTCTTTGTCTTTTATTATTCCTTTATCTGAAGGCCATAGACATGGACAATCTGTAATAAGTTGTAGTAGAAGAATTTAATTTCATATTATATAACAATTTTTTGAAAAACATGTACCGGTAACTGAAAAAACATAGACTGAGATAGATTTGATTTATAATGTAGCTTTCATTGACTTTTACCTGGATTTTTGTTTTTAGGGATTTCCAGGTTTGCCAGGTGATAAAGGGCCTTTTGGGATGCCTGGAATGCAAGAAATGAGGGAATGCAATGATGGGGGGATCATTTTGACTCTTTATTTGCCCTTATTTTTATGGCGATTTTAATTTTATGTCTTAGGTATGGTGATAATATGATATTTTGTTTCTATGACCTTTTTTTTGGGCAAGAGAGGTAAGGACGGCCCACCAGGACCCTATGGTTTGAAAGGAGAACGGAGAAAAGGGGAGACAAGGATATGATGGATTACCAAGAGGAACAGTAAGATCCACCCCTCAAATTAACTAAGGCATAAAGGCTTATTTTAGATTTTAGTAGAATAGAGTGGCAACAAACAATAACTGATAGACTAGAAAGTTCAGATTTTACACTATTTATGGAGTTCTGAATAAGAAATTTATAATTAGATCTTATGTCACAATCAGGGTAAATTTTGTATTTTTGTCACCTTTCCTAAGGCTGTTTCTCTGCTTTTAGGGCAGAACTGGAGACCCTGGTTTTCAGGGGATGAGGGTGACCTTGGAGATCTGGTAGGTTGCCATGACAATACAATTATTTGGCAATGTTACATAATATCTTTATAATGATATTCAAATTGTTTAATATGTATAGATTTCAAAAGTAGTAGTGAATTACTTGCATCACATTAATTGCTCAGTACAGTCCTCATTTGGAAAATCTAGAATCAGACCCAAAATTGTTTCCATTTGTGAACCTTTCTCCTCAAAATTTGCATGTGATTAATTTTTGAAATTGTACATTATTTTAATCCTTCAATATTCCAAATTTGGAATATTTGGAAGCAGTTTTTTTGTGTCATTTCCAAAATATATATAAGAAAAATTATCCATACTTATTTCCAAATTCTCAATGAATAACAAATAGTTTTGATTTTACTAAATTTTAATGTTTAGAATTCAGTTAAATATTCAAGTACATGTAAATGATTTAAAAAAATGAAATTGCAGGGTCCAGAAGGAGATCCAGATGGTGCGAGTCAAGGTCGTCCTGGACCCAGAGGTCGACCTGGTGACCCTGGCCCACAAGGTCTTCCAGGATTCCCGGGTAAGGTTTAGGAATTCAATTAATAATTACTTGGTATAAATAGATGTGAGAATTAATATTTAGAAATGCTGTCAGATGATTGATCTTATAATTTGTATACTGCACAGGAAATGACGGTCTAGATGGTCAAATGGGACGTGATGGTCCCCCTGGCCTACCGGGGCCTGTTGGGATACCTGGGAGGAGAGGACCTGTTGGATTCTCCTATCCAGGAGACAAGGGAGACCAAGGTATTTTTTTTAGGATTATTATGTTGATTTGCACAAAGTACAAAAATTTAGGTTTTTTTATTTCTTTTTTTCTTTGAATAATCATAGCATTGTGCACTTGTTTGCATTTTCTCAATCCCTAATTAACATTTTCTAAGCTCAAGCAATGATTACTTATTTTATTCCAGGTGGCTTTGGTCTTGATGGAGTGCCTGGATTGCCTGGAATACCTGGATTAAAAGGAGTGCCAGGAGATTTGGGACCACCTGGAGAAACGGTTCAAGGATACACTGGTGAACAGGGCCGAGAAGGAAGACCTGGTCTTGATGGACTTCCTGGTACTAGGGGAGAACCTGGTCCTGAGGGATTTCCTGGTATCCGTGGAGATGGTCTGGATGTTACTGGTCCAAGAGGTCCTTCAGGATTTCCCGGAGAGGAGGGAGATCCAGGAATCCCTGGAGAGGATGGGCGTGATGGAATCCCAGGAGAAAGAGGTATGTCTTTTTTCTTTTCAATATATTAATAGATAGTTTGAAAGAAAATGTTGAATTTAAATAATAATGAGCTTTAATACTTTAGCACCAACTTAAAAGAATTGTTATTCCAAATCTGAATTTGAATGCTTTTACCTGTTAGACAGCTGACTATTCTGTGCTTTGTGAAGGCTAGTCAGCTGGTTCTTATCCTATGTTGGACAGCTGACTGTTCTGTGCTTTGTGAAGGCTAGTCAGCTGGTTCTTATCCTCTGATCATTCATTGACTAGTAGGCTTGTGTAAAATCAGAGCAGATCTAAACCAAATGATAGCATTGTCATGTTTGTGGATATCTTAGGACACTAAAAAGGATTGACTTAATGTTAAAAAGCTGTGTCACTGGGGTGTATGGTGATAATAGGCATTGTGGGGATCATAAACCTTTTATTCAATTACATGTGCACCTATCAAGGTTTTCCCTTTTCACCATGAATTAACTAGCTTTGTTGTAAAGCCAGTGTCTTTTTTCTTCATGCAATTTTTTCCCTATCTGTTCAATTTCAGGTAGAAGAGGTGACGACTGTGGGGTTTGTCCTGGGGGTGAGCCTGGTTTTAGGGGAGATCCAGACGATCCCGGTTTTGATGGACTTCCTGGACAACCAGGTCAACCAGGTTTCCCAGGACAACCAGGAGAACCGGGCATACCTGGAATACCTGGTCAAAAGGGCATACCAGTAAGTGAAACCAGATGAAAAACATTTCTATCCAGTGTCTTGGATTTTAAAAGTATTACAAGCTTCAGTTACCTGTAGTTGCTAGGAATACTCTTCAACAAAATATATGTTGCTCAAATCTCATCGATAACTCTCTTGTTTTTAATAAACTTACACATACCCATAGCTTGACCATTTGGATGCCATCTTTATATAAGAGGATAATTTGTTCCCATTCACATTCAGTACTTTGAAAATGCTGTAAGCAAATTAATGACGATAAAATACAGTCAATTCTTGAAATATTGCCATTTGATTCATGCCATCCTCACAATAATGCCATGATTTTTCAGGAACATTTTTCCTGCTTTGTAAAATTCTCTTTATAATGCCAAATTCACATACCACCATCCGCCACCGTTTTCACAATAAACGTCCATTCCAAAGTGTCAGTTATCTCAATATATGGTTTGTTCCCGTTTTGCACACATTTGAATTTCAGGTATTGAAAAAATGTGTGCAAAACGGGAATTTGTCCAGGTAAGATAATTACTTAATTGATATAGTCTATATCATAGTTATGAATTTGGAGAAAAAGAATCTATTGCAAGTATATGAAGAAAATTGATTAATTTTGCATTAATTATTTTTCTATTTTGATTTATTTCTGTAATTTCATAATAAGAAAAAAATATTTCAAAACATAAAAAAATTTCATAAATACTAATCAAAACTATAATAATTTATTGTAATGTACATTCATATGATACTAACTGGGCAAATTAATTTTTTTTATTAAGGTGTTTCGCTTCTGACGAATTTGAATACACCGCGCAACTCGAACTGCCGGAAATTGGTCTGAATGTCGTTTTAATAAAGAATTCAGTATGACAGAAAAATAATAGTTTATTTTAAGTAATTATAATAATTATCCGTAGAAAGTACATAATATTGATTTTTGTGCCAGAAGAAAACATATAATAACTATTTTATATTTCGCGGAAAATTAAGACATGTGAGACGGATTACGATAATGTAAGTAAAAAGCAGACGTGAAGTAACGTTCGGCGCGTAAACTTTGGTTAAGATGGTGAAACCAAAGTACAGACGCCATGGGTTCGTTTCGAAAACGAAGAAGGAGAGATATGAAAAAGTATCTGCAGGGCAATTGACCCGATGGATTAGGGGAGCTATTCTTAGAGACCACAATTACTCCGCCAGTGCAACTCCTGTTAACATTGATCATGATCAAGGTTTGTATACATACGTGTATCATATCTAAAAAAAAAAACCAGTTTGCACATCTGCATCTATGTTAGATCTATCTTAGAAATATTAAAGGAAGGCACATGATGTCCATTACAGTGCGCCGTTCTAGTCCTTATAACATTTTAAGTCATAGGCCTATATGTTAATTTTTTTATAGTTTAACCTACATGTAATAAATATATATAAGATATATTTTTTTAATTTACTTTTGCTGTTCATTGCTGTGGTTCAAAGATTATAAAATGTTAAAGCTTGATGAAATAATATACTCATTTGATCCCTTCACATTGTGATGGAAAGTTACATTACAAAACAGTATGACACAAATTATGCAAAAATGTATGAAAGGTGAAATCTCACAATATTTATCACAATACTGAGATGCAGTTCCAGTGTATCATGATACATAGCAGATGATTAATGTTTTGTAGCTGAATATGGAATTTATTTCACTAGTGGGATAGGATTTTTTTTTATATTTTCACAAGTGTCTTTGAAAACACAAATGAAAATCTATTTTTTAAAAAAAAAATCCTGTCTCATGATTGAAATAAATTCCATATACAACTACAAAACATTGAATTTTCTGTTGTTACATTTTCTTTGATTTTCCCTTAACCTTTATTCATTAATTGTTTGTATTTTCGTAACACAGTGTGAATAGGCTGTGTCATCATGTATGTGTGGTTGAGATGTCATAGCAAATAAGAGATTGAAAACAAATAAAATGGATTTCAACAACATATTTGGAGAAACTTTGGAAATCTCTATCAGCAAAGGCGGATACAGGGCCAGCTCCCCCCCCCCCCCCCCCCCCCCCCCTTTTGAATTTTTTGTATGTAGAACTTTTATGTCCATTATCTTAAAATGAAGGAAAAAACATCTCTTATTTGTAAGAATTCATCAGCTTCCAGGCCCCCACCAGGGCTTTGCCCTAGACCCACTGGGGGTCAATGCAGTCCCCCAGACCCCCTGCCTTCTACTGCGCCCCGCTGTTATGCAATTCCTGGATCCGCCACTGATCAGGATGGTTTATTTATCTTATAACAGGTCCAGGACTAAAAATAATTACTTTTTTTTTCACTGGCCACTCAGGCCATCGCTTAAATTTTTACTGGTCAATTTTTTAACTCAGCAGTCTAGTACTTTCACTGTCACATTGGGCCAGTAAATTTTAAAAAGACTGGCCCAAAACCATAATAATAGAAATAAATTGTTTATATTGTGTTACTTCTTAGTAAAATGGAACAAAACAGCAGAACTTGGATGCACAACCCTGTCAAGTTAACTATCCCAACACCATGAATGCATGAATTTTGTTATGCATATATGCACATGCTAAATAGCATATACTTACCTCTTAAATGTCAAAAATATGCTGTATATCGGCACTATGAACTGTTGTAAGTGTATCAAAAGTAGTCAACTTGTCAGCATGTGTAGATAGTAAAGAACGTTATGTGTATCCTGGTGATAATTTTTATTTATTCATTCTTTATTAATAGAATTGCCAAATTTAAATATACTGGAAAGAGAGGAGGTGGTGGATGGGGGAGAAGTGACTACATCTGAGGATTGGAAGGAGGGAAGGAGAGTGGTAGAACTTGGAGTGTTAGCTGAGGGCTTGCGGGGATGTTGTAAATGTGGCTTACCATTGCAACTTTCACACACAATTTCTGTACTGACACATGGTTTAGCTTCTTTGTTAAAGGTATAAACTCATAAATTTATGTCCAGTTAGTTAGAAAACAACTTTGAAAGCTTGAAAGGTTTTTTTTCATGGATTTTTCTCAATGTAAAATAGGCATTATTCCATGTCCTTATTAAAAGTTTTGAAAGGTTTTACAATATTTTTTTTTATCATATTTGAAATAATGCATATTGAAATTCTTTTTTTCCCCAGCATTTGATATTCATTAACGGTGAATGAATTTATTACAGTGACCTGTAACTGGGGATTCATTGGTTTTACATTCACATTTCAGGTCTGTTGCAGCAATACAAAGTGTAATCATATTAACCATGTAAAAACGGGGAAAAAACATGGAAAAGTGTGGGATGTAAATACAAAACTATCAGCAGGTGAGAAGTTTCACTTACACATCCCCTACATCAGATACACATATATTAATTTTTGTCAGGTCACAAGAGCCTAATTAAATTTTAGCTCATTTTTGTACGTATAGGTTTTTCCCCATTGTTCAAAGATTTCATAAGTGCCACTTGTTTTGCATGAACTTGAAAGAATTTATATATATATATATATATATAATGTTTAGTTCAGAATAAAAACTTGTTGAGAAGCCATTTTTAACTTATTGAAGCCAGAGGCTCATTTGAGCTTTCTGATCTAAGTTTTTCTATTTATCTGTCTGTCTGTTAACTTTACAAAATTATACCCCTGCTCCAAAGGAGAGGGGGGTAAACTGTTTTACCCTTGTGTTTTTAGCACACTCTTTGTTATCCCCTCGCGCAGCTAGTTGCGGAGAGGATATAGCATCGCTACTGTGCATATATGTGTGTGTTTGTGTGTGTGTTAGTGTGTCCGTTACAGCTTGTTGGCAAGATTTAAGGAGAACCTTTGTACTATCAAATCTCAGCTTCCACATACTTATGTGGGATTGTGAAAGGACAAATCCTATTCATTTTCAAGTTAATCAGTGAAATATTTCTTTAAATATTGCGTACCTTCAAGCCCTGAAATTTTATGTACGACTTGACAATACTCACTTCCTGTTAATCAAACTGGTAAATTCGGATCGCTTCGATAGACTCGCTTCAGTAAGTTCTACTATGTATTTGCATATTTATATTGTCATATTATTGTGCGTATCTTGAGACAATCTGTCTGAATTAAAAGTGTCATCTCTGACACTGAGTAATTGAAATAATTTGATGAACGTTGCAGTTTCATTATTAAATTTCCACATGTGTCTGTTTACAATATAGAATTTATCCTTATTTCTTCTGAAAGCTATAAAGACATTTCGCAAGTTTCATTGACCTCTCAACACTGACATATTGTTATTTTTCATTACGAAAAAATATTGCTTCCACAGGTATTCTCAGATTTTATGCATATTGCATAGGTAAATTACTGAAACTTAGAGCATACGTGATATGTTTCTGCTAGGAATAAGGGAAACTGCCCAATTACGTATGCATGTTATGCCCCCACCTCTCCCCACCAATATGATATGCACTTTTAATTTTTGTTAAAAATGGATCCCCCATCCCCCCCCCCCCCCCAATATAATATCAACTTTGACTTTTGTTAAAAAATTAATTAGTGTTGCAATACATTTTATGTACTTTACCTTATTGTAAACTTTATATAGTAATGGTGGGTGCCCTTGATAACTAGGTGATTGTATCTTTCTTAACGTCCCTCTTGAGAATTATTCTCTCGTATGGAGACATTCCCATATCAAAAAATAATACATAAAAGTATATTTTTAATATATTTTTAATACAATCATTTTCGTATTGTTTAAAATTAATACAGAAAAAATATATTATTTTTGTATCACCAACAAATAGGTAGATTATTTTTGTATTAAAATCTGACTTTGATTTTTTACGGGGTATTATTTTTGTATTTTTTGGGACTTAGATTATTTTCAGTATATCATTTTTGTATTTTTGTGGACTTAGTTTTTTTCAAGTGTATTTTTTCTGTATTAAAATTGAACTTAGTAATTTTACAGAAAATTACATACAGTTAATCTGTATTATTTTTGTATTAAAATTGAACTTAGTAATTTTACAGAAAATTACATACAGTTAGTCTGTATTATTTTTGTATTAAATTTGGACTTAATAATTTTTAAAAAAATACTATACAGTCAGTATGTATTTTTTTTATATTTATTTTGGACTTAGTGTTTTCTTTTACTGAAATTTGTATTTCTTTGAACTTAGGAAAATTTACAGAATGTCCTTGCAATAAGTCTGTTGGAATTAATATTTTTTCTCAGATTTTATTAATTAAGACCACTGCTATAAAGGTTGCTTTTATACTATTTACATTTAATTGCTATTTAGAACAGAAAATTTCAGTAGTTTAAATTTGTTAACTAAACAATTTCATTTTTAAAACGTCTTTACTAGGTGTGAAATTGTCATTTGGAAAGAGATAGATACGTCTAAGGGAACACCTATGCTGTACATGATAGTTGTAAACACGCGGTAAATTTTGAAGTTTCAGAGTTTCAGACTTTCTTTTTGTGTTGAAAATTTTACAGCGTGTTTACAACCGAGTGTTTACACTATCGCCAACAGCACAGGTGGCCACCTGCAGGCTTACAATAGACGAGTACATGTTATACTACTCAAAGAAATAGTTCATGATTTACCCGTGAAAACACATCCCAACCAAAAAACAAAAACAAACAACATGGAGAGTTCCACTAATTACAGTACCTACGATGTTTTCTTGACTATACAACTCAATTTAGTATACATTATATTTAATTCAGTACGTATTACAATTACATGGAATAGAACTATTTAATTATCCGCTTTTAAAAAAAAAATAAATAAGAAATTATTACGAAAGAATATCATAAAATAATATAGAAAATGTTGTGAAATTGGTGTAAAGGATAGTTGTTAAACATTATTTCAATCTCTGGTACCGTATGTATGAGTTAAGTTGTCCGTCAAAAAGGCTATATATTATGTATCTCCCGCTCGTTTTGATCATTATATTTGAACTTTATGGTCTACTTCACAGGTCAACTTGAATATAAAAATGGCTGCTCTCAGCGGAAATGATGACCGGAAATAACGATGTTTCGTAATCGGTAAATTCCGTAAGGAATAAAAAAATGATTCTGATGATTAAATTGAACATCGTTTTTTTCTAACATAATTTTAGGTTTGTTCAATTGATTCAAGATATTTAAAACCATGTAAATATGTTTTCTCTAACTGTTCCGATCTCAACATCGGTAATTTTCGTATATATGACACAATATGATTGGTCAGATTTTAAAACTCTTCCGTACTGTTCTCTGATTGGTCAACAATATTTCACCCACGCCATTTTGAAAATTCTTCCCGGGACGTGTTGAGAAAGCTGGAGGTGATTTTGAATAAACTCTCATTTGCTCGCGAGTAAAATGGATCGAAAAACAGAAGTTCAGCATAATCATGGTACACAGGATCATATATATGAACCAAGGAAAGCAAATACATAAGGAGACTGACGTTTTTTAGGCATCATATCCGGACTTTTCTGGTGTAAACAACGACAGTTGCGGTAAGATTATGTATATTTTAGCACATTAAAGTTTAAGTTTTTTAAATAATAACTTAGTACAAAGATAGAGGAACAAAGAATGCCTTTTTTTACCCATTTTGTAGTATTGTAGAAAGATAAAATAGTACGGTTATTGGCCATGTGGGGAACAAGGGTTTTTGTGATAAATTCTGATTGGGGAGGGAGGGGTGGAAGATGGGGGTAATTTTCAAGCCTTTGGCTTCCTATTTCTAATTCATTCCAATTTTTTCAAGTTTACCAGAGACGAATTATTTATTTTCCCTTCAAAAACAATTCTGTAATTTGTATAAACTCAAATTTTTTCGAGGGGGGGGTAGGTTGGGTTCGGGGGGGGGCAGTTTATTTAAATAACATTGTGGCACACATTTTGTTTACTCTTTCAACGTTTTCAAGGACAGATTGTTTATTACAAATATTTTTTAAAAAATATTATATAAATCAGTCCCCCCCCCTTTTTCTTCTCCAGATTGTCAAATCAAATGGTTGTCCCCTAAGAAACACCCCAGATTAAAGAAAAGTAATTTCAATGGTACAATTGTATGGAATTTGGTGAACTCCGCTGGATCTTTTGGAATTTCAATTTATAATTATTGTTAATTTCAGTCAGCAGAACATTGAAGAAAAGCTGATTAGTCATGGAGGAAGAAGATCCCTCTCAAGAAAGTATTGCAGGTGTGTGAGCTAAACAAAATCTATACAGAATTATTTTGGATGTGAAAATGTGTGTTTTGTTGAGGTAATGGTTCATTAAATTTTATTATTATATCATTCTGTTCTATATTTCACAGTGATGAAGTCAGATGAGATGACAGGTTGTGTGATTTGAAGATGGACTTCTGCAACAAAGTAAACACTCCTCTACCTTTTCCATACAAAAGAAACAGCAAAGCAGAGAGATCAAAACAGTTGGTAAAAGTACAAAGAAAACAGGATTAGTTAAACTTGTGAAAAATATCAAGACTATTGAAGAGCAGATTATATGTAAAAAGAAAGATCAAGACTAGAATTGGTAGCTGAATCAGTAGCCTGGCCACATTAATTACTTTTTAATTAGCTATTTGTACATTTAAGGTAATCTGACTGAGTTACTAAAATTGTTATTTAACAAATATTTCAAATAAATAAAAGATTTTTGAATAACAATCAATAGATGCTATTAAGAACCTCAATCTCCAACCCCTTTTCTTCAAATAACAATTTTTGCCCATGATCATTTTTGTAGTTTTTAAAACTCTGTTTTGTATTATTTTAAGCATTTAAATGTATTTTTTGTCTATCATTCTTATACTTTTTTGATATTTTTGAAATACAATCCTTCATGCTGATAAAAATACAAAAACAATACATATTAATACAAAATTAATACATTCTATATTTTTTTCATACTTTTTTGTGTACTGTATTATTTTCATATTTTATATCTTTTTTGTACTTTTAATTGTTCCAGATGAAAAAATACAAAAATAATATATGTGATACAAAATTAATATATTCTATATTTTTTTTGTATTTTAATTCTTAAAGGTGAAAAAATACAAAAATAATATATGCTAATACAAAATTAATACATTCTGTATTTTTTCTATACTTTTCTATGGACTGTATTATTTTTATACTTTGGAGAGGAAAATAGAGAAATAATACAAAAGTACAAAAACAATACGTTTTTACAGGTCATGTGTATCATTTCTGTATTATTTCGAAAAAATAAAGTATATTAAAAATATATTTTTCTGTGTTTGGCTTTTAAAAAGTCTATTATTTTTGACCTAAATTGGAACCAAGATTTAGAGGGTTCCAAATTTGGTCATTAAAAATATACTTTTTTTGTATTATTTTAGTATTTTTTTCTTGTATTATTTTTGTATTCATTTTCGATATGGGTTACCATTACTGGTGAAGTTCCTCTGTGAGGTGATGCTCCGCTTAGCGGTGCTCTTGTTTTCGCATGCCATATGGTAAGATTCATTTTTATACGAATCAGATGTCTACTTCCTGTTTATCCATGCGTCTGTCCATACCAAATTTCTGTCGCAACTGAACTTGTGTATATACAGTAAAACTCAGTTATAGCAAAGTCCAAGGGACCTGTGAAATTACTTCGCTATATCCGTAATTCGTTATATATGTATTACGAATTTGTTAAAGTATATATATTGAATTTGCAATTCATTATAAAAATTCATTATAAAAGATATAATTTTTATTATTTTTAATCTCTATGGGACACAAAATCAGTTTGCTATATCTGTAAATTCGTTATATCAGAGTTTGTTATAGCTGTAATATTTTCTTAGGATTTGTTAGGAATTTTGCTGGGGATTCCAAAAAACTTCACTATATCCGTAAATTCTCTATATCTGTGTTTCTACATGAGAACATATATTTACATCAGAGCAGGGGTATTACTAGTGAGCATTGGCTCACAGACTTCTTGTTTAGATTTGTTCTCTGAACCACTGGACTTAACAGATTTTACATAATGCAATAGTACATGGAAAAAATCTTTAAAAATTAAAAATCATCTTCTCTGTAGAAGAGCAAAGCCATATAACCATATTAATCATATTGATATTGAATCATCCCAATGTTATGTAGATCAATTTAAGTTTGGTAGCCATTACCCCTTGGGGGTTTGAGTACAGTATGGATCTTTTTTTTTTTATTTCCTGGGAATACAGAGAAAAATGAGACTCGGGTGAGTGTTGTGGTTCAAGAGCCTCTTGTTTTAATTAGATTGATATTTTTTTTTTCATTTTTGAATTTGTATTTACAGCAATGGTACATGTTGGCATTGGTGTAACTCAAGTTAACAGTCTCCTTTCTGAGCTGAATATACCACCTGTTAGTCATGCCATGCTAGACAATAGACAGAAAGAGATCGGCAGAGCTGTCCAAGATATTGCTGCAGAGTCTATGTCTAATGCTTTGCAGAAGGAACTGGGAATGATGAATGAGTGTGTATACAATATAAATTCAGTTTAAAATCTCACTTTTTATTGTGATCAAAGGGTGTCCAGCAACCATGTGTAGTGGTCATCTGTTAACTTCTCACATTTTCGACTTCTCCACACAAACCAATTTCGACCGTACTTGCCACAAAGCATCTTTGGGTAAAGGGATTCAAGTTTGTGCAAATGAAAGGTCAGGATTCAAGTTTGTTCAAATGAAGAGTCATGTTTTCTTTAAAAGGGAGATAATTAATAATTAGAGAAAATTTAATGTTATGTTTTAGAAGTCTTCTTTAAGAACCACTTGGCCAGGAAAGAGGAAATTTATGTGAAAGCTAGCTTCATTACTTAGTGTAAAAATCATGACCCCCCAGGACTAGGGTTTTTACAAAAGGTGATCAAATTTTATTCAAGAATATATAGGAAAAATGGTTTTTTTTTTAAAATAGGTTGAGACTACAATAGCGGATTAGAGTTTAATAAAGGAGTACATAAGATAGAGTTGCAAGATCACACTAAATCCTATAAATTACTAACACATATCTAAGATGTGAAGAGTAGATTTTTAAAAAAAAATTATTAGCACTGGGGTTAGAGTTGAGCCAAAATCAGAGCAGTCAAATTTTACATAATGCATGTGTAAAGGAAAAAAAACCCAGCAGGACCATGTTGATCATATTTATATTGAAGCATCCCAATGTTGTGTTGATTAAACTTTGAATAAATCATATAACTCCTTTAGTCTACATTTTGGTCCACAGCATGGAGTCAAAATATTTATAAAAAATTTTATAAAAAAATTTAATTTTGGTTGTAACGCATTATTTGATTGGATAAAATTTTTTAGTTTTTATGGTACCTTTGTTGCCTACGTCACAATGACTTAATGTACGTCAAAAACGTATCAATCCGCTTGGTGTTACTTTTAAAATATGTGCAATTTGAAGGCATTTCTGAAGGAGAAATTGTCTTATTGATTTAAAAAATTAAATTATAAGGAGTGAATTTAATAGCTACATATACTGGTATAACTTGGGTTGGAACAGTTTATGACTTTTTATATACTGCTTCACAGTTACTAGATATACTTATAAATGTTAGTTTTAGTCATCTACTGCATAATTAGTGCTGATAAATATGCAGATTGTTATGCATATTAGGGAGGTGTTCTAAAGGAGACAGGTTCACAGGCTAATAACTGATGTCTGTTATTTAACTATCTTTCAGAGAGATGAATGAAAAGGGACTAGTTGTTGCTGTAGATGCTGGATGGCAAAAACGGGGAAGTGGAAAGACATATGATAGTTTGTCAGGTAAAAATAGACAAATTTTAGGAAAATGAAACAAATATTAATGCATAGAGTGATTTATTTTGGCCTGCGTCCCCCATGAATTATGCATTAATTTTGCTCAGGACATGATTCCAATAAATATGTATGCAAACAGATGCAGTAAAGAATGGGTGGAATTAACGCCCTTTGGATCTTTTTGCAATTCCTCTACCAAGCTGTAAATGAAGTGAATCCAAAATATATTGCAAGCAATAGAAAGAGTTACGTATACATGGTTATATTAGGTAGAACATTTGTACAAAAGCAAGGCCTTTTGCCATGAATCAAAATTGAAGCAACGATACATTAGTGTCGTCTTCCGGAATTTGGCATGTACCTGGAGTGGTTTTTAGGTCACGTAATCAAATTTATAGGAGGTGGGGCTATCGATCGGCATCATTGTTGACATCTCTCTCTCCCTCTCTAGAAATTCGAATATGTGTATGGCATATTGCAGCGATGTCAATATGACCCTGATTATCTATTGATTATCTATTGATATTCAAGAAATCTTCAGGCACCATGCCTTCGATATTTATTTAGTTTACCTCAAAAAGAGTGTTTTAAATCCACACCTGTACCATGAATACACGGTTAAGATATCGGGGATTTATATGATAGAAAGAAAGAAACATTTTATGAAAAAGATACATGTATCCCAAAGTTCAACTGTACATTGAAATTTTAAAATATTCTTCCAAAGAACAGCCATTAGTAGTCATGTATAGATACAAGCATGCTCAGGTAAAGCATATTCAATTTTGTTTGAACTATGGCCCCAAGGGGGTAAGATGGAGCCACAAAAAGGGATATAATTTTTACATGGGAATTTATAGGAAAAAACTCATTAAGGAAGAGCCTTAATGAGTCAAATCAATATGCAAGCACTCTCATTAGCAATATTAGGTGAATTTTATTCAGAGGAATAAAGAAAGGAAAAACGTTTGTATAGATTATCTTCTAAAGTGTGATAACCCATTGGCATTGTTTTGAAATTGGGTGTTAAATTTTTCTTTTACTTCAAAATATGTACTTTTTTAGGTCATTGTTCCATGGTTGGCCCTCTCTCTGGCAAAGTATTGTCATATTCTGTGAGGTCAAAGAATTGCAGAGTATGCAGTGTAGCTGAAACAACCAACAAGAATCCAGCAGCCCATGAGTGCTCAAAGAACTGGGAGGGAAGTTCAAAGGCCATGGAGGCAGATATGGTTATTGAGATGGTAGAAGATTTACAGAAAAGTAAAGGAATAACCATTGACGGAATCATAGGAGATGAGGATACCACCACAATAGCAAGATTAAAAACTAATGTCAATGCTAATATCAAGAAGTTGTCTGATAAAAATCATCTGAAGAAACTGTTTACAAACTCTTTGTTTACCTTGAAGAAAGAACATTCATCTCTAACTTTGTCTGTTATAAAGTATATTCAAAAGTGCTTCAGTTACTCCATAGCACAGGGAAAAGGAAATGCTCTTCAAATCCAAGAAGACCTCTCATCAATACCATACCACATCTTTGGAGATCACGAACACTGCTCCGCACGGTGGTGCAAGTTCATCGACAACCCTAACCTGCGCTACAAGTCTCTTCCACATGGAAAACCGCTCAAAGATAGGTTCCTTCAGGATGATCTCAAAGAAGTTTTCAGTTCATATGCAAGTCATTCTGATCGTCTTTCATGTTTAGGAAGCACGCAATCAAATGAGAGTTTTAACAGAATGGTGTCTGCAAAAGCCCCAAAGACCCATCATTACAGCTCCTCTTCAAGCCTCAGATATAGAGTTGCTGCGTGTGTAGCTCAGAAAAATGAAGGTCACAGATATCTTATAAAGGTATGTTAATTTTTAGCTCAAGTGAGCTTTTCTGATCACCCGTTGTCCGTCATCCGTCTCTCCGTCCATCTGTAAACTTTTCACGTTTTCAACTTCTTCTCAAGAACCACTGAGCCAATTTTAACCAAACTTGGTACAA